ATATATATATGTATATATATTTAGTTGCAACAGTGCTTCTCCGAAAAAAGGTCCATCTATAAATATAATTTTATTTATTTTTATTTTTAAATTTTAGTTCTTTTAAGTTAAAATTCTCCATCTCTCTAGGTATTATTTTTTGAATGGTGTTAACCTGCTGAAGTTTTGCCAGAATGGTGCCTGGCTGCGTCTGGGTTCGGTGAACTCGAAGACCTGGGACTGGGATATGCCATCTGTCACCATGTATTGTCCCTGATTTAATGGATCCTGGGGTGGTGGGTAGGCTGGAGGAACCGACTTGGAGTAGCTCACACCTGCATCGATGATTGGGGGGAAAAAGAAACAGATCAGTCAAAGTGCAATTGGGTCAATAGTCTTTCTTCGTCACGCTATCGCTTCTTATCACTTAATAACCAGGGTCCCAAACAACAGGGAGACGTGCTAGAGACGGCAAATCTACAGAGGAACGCAGCAGCTGCCTAAACTCTCAGCTCGGAAGCTACCTACACTAGACCACCAGTTCAAGATTTGGAAAAGATCCATTACTTTTGTATTGGCAGAGTTTTGCCTGCCCTCATGGAAAAGTCCTGTGTGCCCTAAGGAGGCACAAACATGGCCAGGCCATACGCAGAATCAATCTGCTCAGACAAAGGCAGGCGACCGCATCATTCAACCTGCTCGCAAATTTAACGCTTGCTGGTTCCAAGCTCATTCTCACCCTCCCTCCCGGCTACGCTTGGAAAGCGGTTTTGCCCCAACATGCCCCAGTGACCAGCCCCGAGCAGTGCGACCCCGAGGACCTCTTGGCACCAGTTCCTGTGCCAGAATGGAGCAAAGCTGCTTTGGAGGAAAGGCTACGCTGCAGGGACCCGTGCTGCTTCAGCGCTACTCTGCCTATACGGACAGCAAGTCATTATTTTCGTTAGGAAAGTTTGTAGGACTTTTCCATAGGGTTTGTTTCAAATTTACCAGTCTGGTTTCAGCCAAAAACGGCTGCATGCAACACAGAAATGGCTGATTTCCTCAATCCAAACTGGTAGCAATGGATGGACTGGCAAGGCTACACTTCCAGGTTCTAGGTGCGTAATTCCCACGTAGGTGAGCCAGAGTTCCTGGGCAGGAACGGCGTGGGGGGATGCTGCCCTTACGGCTTTCCCATGGAAAGGGGGAGCTTCGGCAAGCTGGGACCTATACAACCTGTTGTAAAGGACGGCGTAGGAAGGGCGGCTCTGGGTGAATGGAAGTGGAACAGAAGGGAGGCATGTCACCACCAAAGCGTAGACTACAGGGAACAGTAATATAGCTACTTCTGTATTCCCTTCCCCGCAACACCACTGATGAGGGATAATCCCTCCTTCAGCCTCAGGGTAGCGTGATCAGCTGGAAACCACAACTCCAGAGAAAGGCAGGAAGGAGAGAGGAGCAGGGCTCTGAAGCAGGTTGCTGTAAGCTCTGGCCATCTCTGGATCCCCTCTGCCGCATGCAGAACTGCTCTTCCTTCTGCGGGGAGGGCAGCCCCGGCCGCATGACGGATGGCAGGCTTCGCAAGGGCCATCTCGAGGCCATTGCCTCCCCTGGTTTTAACCGCAGGAGCGAGGTGACTCTACTCAAGTAGATCAGTGTCCTCATCTGGAAAGCGGGATGGCATCACCCACCTACCTCACACGAGGGTTGTGAAGCTAAATTAATTAATGTTTGTAAAACACTTTGAGATCCTCGGCTGGGAAGGTGCTAGAGAAGGCAAAATACGGTGATTAGCACCCAGGCACCACAGCAACGTGTGTAAAAGAAATGCGACTCTTTGCATTCAGTTAGCGGTTCCTACCCACACACAAACACATGCTTTGCGGGACCAGCGCTAGCCAGCCCGGGCACAGGAAGGCTGCACACAGTTGGGTACTTACAGACAAAGGAAAAAGCCTCACAAAGTGCACTCACGGAGCTCATCAGACAACTTTTATATGTTTCAGGACCACTTTTAGATACAAAGCTAAGGCTTTAGTATGGCTTTAGGAGAGAGAATTAATTCACTTCCCCTTGCTATAGAATTTACCAATCAAGGGTTGTTACCATCTTCAAAAGGTTCAGACCAAATGGAGATACGATCTTGACTATGTCTAACTGATTTCTCCTTTACAGCAAATACCATCAAATCGTACAGCTCTCTGTCCACCATAGAGAGTAACCAAGATCTTTCCTTACGGTGGACAAAAACCGCTCTGTGATTCATACTTATTAACCTTTAACAAATTCATCACAGTTAACATTTCAAACTTATTTGAAAAGAACAACCTGGAGATGTGCCACATTTGTATCTGCATGCTGGAATAGAGTTACTCATCAACAAGTTTTCTCCTCTGCCCTTCCCAAGCTCCTCTCTCCCACAGAAAGCCTGCAAAGCAGAGTGCAGCCCCAGAGCCCTTGCTGTCCTGGGGTCCAATCTGGACAGGGTCAGTTCTAGGATACCTGAGACAACTTCTGTCTCCCCCTTGTTGGCAGGCCCCAACCCTCCAGTTGAATTGACATCACTATGTGACTAAAGCCAACGACGTCCCATAAGGGTAGAGCATGGGCTTGAGCTCGTCTCTGCCCTTCCTCTTCCGTCCCTTCTTCTACACTGTCCTGCTCTGGGTTGCCTTGCTGGAAGGCAGGTCAACATGTGGGCAGTGTACCCAACTGCAGAGTCTGCTCTGGAGGGCAAACGCTAGCCCTGAACCCATACAAGAGTGCAGACGTTCGCCTGGAGGCCACCAGCCTTTAGTGCCTTGGCCACTTTTCCCAGCAGAGACTAGTGAGGAATTTTGGGATTTGTGGGAAGGTTAGGATCTGGTACAGGTCCCTTGCATGGCTAGAGTTGGGAAATGTATCTTCTGTCTGGCAAGTGGTTTGAATCTTCGACTGACCCAAAGGACCTGGAATGACTTCAAAGGCAAATAGTCCCTGTGCCACCCAGATTACTAACTAATATTCTACAACACAAAAGAGCTGTGAATCTACAGCTGCTACTAAGGGGCATACAGCAATTGTTTCTAGCTTTGGAAGACCTTAAAACCATATTGCTTTAATGACGTGGCCCAATATCTTTTGCATCCTGTGGCTGCAGAGTAGCAGTCAGCCTCGTGATGCACCCGGTCTGCCGTGCGGAGCTGGGCTGAGCTCTTTATTGTCTCTAAACCAATTTGTGGAGGGTGAACTTGTGTATTTTAATCATGATACAGAAATGCTAAGAAATCTCCTGGATCAGCAAAATGTTATGTACTTGGAAGGCTGAAGAAGTAGAGAAAGGACAGTCTGGCTGAAGTCCACTGACATTGACAGAGTTACCCTGCAAAGAACGTAATCCATAGTCTGTCTTCTCCAAAAGAGAAAAAGGCAGACTCCCCTGGCCAGATCACTAGCAAACCCCATTCAGTTCCTTCCCAAAATAGCCTTTTTGGTCCCAACTCCTGAAAAATGTCTATCCTCGCTTCAAACATACCCATGCACACACTGCCACTTCCCTCGGTAAAGCTCAGACCCATGTTCTCAAAGTCGTTTCTGCAGCCCTGCTCAAGGACCTGGGCTACTGGCATTAATCTAAGCTGGATGAACATCAAAAGCTCTGGCTGGTTCTACTTGAATAAGCAGCCGAACGTTTGCATATTTATCGTATTTATCAAATGGCCTCCGTGGCCCGAACGATCAAGACTGCGGATGTCAGTAGCATGCACAATTACCGTGTGTTTGTGGGCGTGCAGATAAAAACATTTGTGCTCTGGCGAGTCAGGCTGATAATTCCGTAAGAATGCATTTCTTGTGAAACTGTGATGTAGCACTTTGCAATAGCTTGAGGTGCCCCAAGAATGGCACCTTTTTTTTTTTTTTTGGACACACCCACATTCTTGACAAGGTGGAACACAGAAACTGGTGGGGGGGAAGGAGAGACATTCGTCTAATCTGTACATCTTCAAATCCTCAGAAAGAGCAATTCTGGGAAAAAGTATGACAGGTATTTTTCTGTTCTGCTCTGAAGTGGTTTGTTCCCTCATTGAAACTCGGGGCTGCTGTGCAAAATTTTCTCTTGAGGGTTTTTTTGTTTTTTTATATGCAAAGCCATAACTCCACTGCAATTCAACAGAAACAAAGGAGCAAAGCTCTCTTCCAACGCGATTTTGGGCTGCTTGGCGAACAGAATTCAAAGCGCAAAGGGAAAGAATCGATAGATAAGTAACGATTTCTAGACACAGCTGCTGCGCTGCCCTTCCAAGGTGTGAGAAAGCAGCTAGACACCAATGACCAGACTTGGAGCTCCTTCTGCTGGTTCATGCATAATTCTGCACTGTAGCAGAATATAAAGGCTGCAGCTGCATAGCAGGGTGGGGGGTGTGGAAATCTGTTCAGAATGAGAAAAAGAAAACTCCAGGGTTTCTAATTTGGCTAGACAAAACTGGTAAAGAGAGATGCTGCGCTGTCAGTTGAAATGATGTCTTTTTTTAGTACTAGGCAACGTCACATGAAAGCTTTCGGACTTCTCAGCTCAGAAGAAAACAATTAAAAAGATTTAAAACTGTCTCTTTTTTCCCTTCTAGTTCTTTTTTTCAAAGTGTCTCTTCTATTTGAGGTTACAGCATGACTTCAGTAGCACTTGAAGATTTAGGAGCATGCTGGTGACTCACAGGCAATCCACACGGACACGTGCAGACAGACCCACTTATAACACAGCAGGACAGCTACAGTAACACTGCACCTTCCCGGAGTTAATACAAAACATACACAGATTCCCCTACATATAACCACGGAAACTTGCCTTACAAGCTGCGTATTTCATCCTCAACCTTTAAGATTTTAGTTTATACTTTGATCGGGAGCTAGTTCATAGGTTTTCTTCTACCTAGCTGTCTAGATCTCATGCTGTTCATGAGCCAGAGTTGAGTGGGAGACAATAAAGTATCAACACCGGCTTTCTCTACTGGCCGAGTGGAGGCTGCTGGTAGGACAGGAAGCAGTGCTGCACTAAGGAACCTTCCATCTCTCTCCGATCGCAACAGCAGCTGAGCCAACTTGCATCTTTCAGGAGCCATGCTTAAAAATCCAATAAATTCAGTTTCCTCCTGAATACTGTAGCCCATACACAACATGGGGTAGCCAGGAACATACCTCAAGAACACTAATTGTTGTGCGGTTAATTACTCCTGCAACAGCAACAAGTTAAATAAGCAGTAACAGCTGAATGGGTACAGCCCTTTGCCCTTCTTCAGCACGTTTCAACAGAGGATCTCAAAGCACTGCTGACTCCATCTGGGTTACTAATGCCTGGAGCGAGAAGCCATCTATCTATGCTGTCATCAATGAGCCTCGCGCTTGCGGACCCAAAGCACCCAGTGCTTGGGCGAGCCGCAGATGGGCACTGCGTGACGCCTGCGTGGTGGAGGGTTTGGGTAGGGTCTGTATTTTACAAGTGATGGGATAAGCTCTGTGATTTCTCTGGGGAAATACCACTGAGAACATGATTAGCTCCTTTCTTTCACCTACGCTGTGGGAAGCTCTGTGAAAAAAGGGAAGTGACCCTGATTATCTGAAAATGCAAATGCCCCTCTTTCTTTTAAAGCAGTTAGCCTGTGTGTTGCTCGGTCTCTTTCAATCCCCCCAGGGCTATCCGCCAACGTGTCAATAGGATGGGGAAACATGTCAGGGCCATGTCAATCTTGTTAGCAACAAAGATGCAATAAAATAGGCTTAAACACTCGGGAGAACCACAGGAGGCACCTCCAGCCTCTGTTACCTGGTAAGACCTGTCCTCGCCAGCTGGATGAAGCCAGCACGCGTACGCTAACGTGCAGACATCTCGTTTTGCTATGCAGACTTGCTGGGGAGAGCTTGAAGTGCAGAAGTGTGAGAAGTCAGAGAAAAGCTGCTTGGGGTTTGGGTCAGGGTTTTTATGACATAGTTCGCCGTGAGCTCAAGTGATCAGAAAGGAAGAAATTAGCAGGAAAATTCAGTGACTCAGAGAGTGTTTCACTGCAGGCCAAAGCAGTTCCTGCTGGCTGACGATTTAACCCCTGCTGGGTTTGCAGAGCTGAGTATTTATGGGCAGATTTAACGACAGCATCCTTCTAAGCTCAGGGCTAGGAGTGACAGTGATTGAATATGTGTCTCCCTCCTTCCGCAAGTCCCAGACCACCAGGCTAAAGGCTTGTCTGGGCTGAGGGCATCTGCTTTGGTGAAGCTATGGCACAGTGCAGAGGAGAATACACAGGACAGAGAAGGGCATGAAGGAGCCGGCTCATAGCGTGGGTCTGAAGAGCTCTCCTGGGTGGGAAATGCTCCCACCCAGCACTAAGGTCACTTTAAATTTGAACAGACATTTCATTTTTCAAAATGGAAACTTTAGTGGGAAACGGTGCTTTAAGAATGGGATCTCCTTCCCGGGTACCAGAACCTTGAATCCCAACACCCTGGCTGACAGCTCGAGGATCAGGAGCAAAAATCCCTTACGGTACACGCTGTCCTGCCTGGGCACAAAGCTGGGGATCAGAAGAGTCACTGAATGCTTCTGAAAGCTGCAAACACTAATCACTGAGGGGAGAGATTAAAAGCGGCCAGCAGAACAGAAGCCCTTGATGGATAGAAGCACTAAAGGAGCCTTCTGTTTTCAGACACTTAGAAATGGAAAAAGTACCCTGGATAATCCTGTGTCTATGTTACGGATGGACTGGGCATCCCCAAAGGATCCATTTTCAAGGGAACTTTAGACTTGTTTCCACTGCTTTAGTCAGTAACGAGCACAATCTTGGAAGCGCAACTCAATGCTATCTTAACGTCGTAGTGTCAGTGCAGGCAGCAAAGGTCCTCAGTGGTACCTGGACTTACTGCAGAAAAGTTGCGCAATCGATTTGCTGTAGCTTAAAAAGGGCTGTGGGGTTTTTTGTTGTTTTTGTAAGTCAAGACAAATAATTTTCTCTGTTACTTTACTATTTCTAGGAGACACCACGCTGAATTCTATTCCTAGTTACCACACTGACATTGAAAAAAGCTAACGGGCAGTAACCGAGAGGCAAAATCTTGAACAATCAATGCAAAAAGAAAAAACAACAACAAACAGCCCTTTTCTGTATCTGTTGGTAAGGTGCAGAGCCAACGCCACCCATTTACTTTATGTCTAATGGACTTAAAAAAGGCCAAAAATTGGTTTAATGCTGTCTTAAGGCACCTGGTCTAATATCATTATGTTTTGCCCAATCCAATAAGTAGTGCAAATCCTAGTATATTGCTGGAAATCTGACCTTGTGCATCATTAAATCGATTTGGAAGGAAGCCTGGCACTGCACACATTTCTGTGCAGCCGTGAGCGTCTGGAGGGGGTTGATTCCAGAGGGGGCTGACCTGTGCCCTGCAGAGGACTCTCACTTTGGGATCAAAAACTTTTCGAAACACTGAGAGTTGTGTTCTCTCTTAATCACCCGGATAAAATTTCCGTTAGTTTAAAACCCAGAGTTTTAAGGTTTCTCCTCCTGCTATCAGCTGATGTCTCCGCGTCTCTCCCTTGCCCGCTGCAGCGAGCGGTAGATTAAATGCTTCCTTTTGAAACGCACGCCAGCCAGCTCCAGAGTAATACTTCTGGGAGGTGTGGTACAACAGTGCATGAAATAAGCGGCAGTTTATACTATTTGAAAAATGTTTTTCTGCTTCACCTCTAACAAAGTTGATTGCATTTTCCATTTCACCTCCTTCACGGCTTTTCTCTCTTCCTTAAGCATTCTGTGACAGGGAAATTACCATGGTTTCCCATTTAAGAGGTGGAGGGAACAACTGAGATAATCTAGAAACAAGTCTGTAATAGGCAGCCACTGACACGGGAGCAGAGCTCTCGACTCGTCAGGTCGGGCTGTTGAGTCATCGAGCCCTGCTGTGGCCACCGAGACCTGTCCTGCAAAGTCCATAAATTTAAATAATAGTTCAGTTGAATGCAGTGGAAGTATTCCTACTCCTAAAGGGCTTCACTGCTTTCCAGGTATACCTGATGCTCCAAAACCAACTTAAAGCCCTTTCCAGTGCTACTGTCGTGCTGTGGGAGGCTGCACGGGGAGGGCAAAGGCAGCGCACGGTGCCTGCAGGCAGCAGCCTCCTGGTGTAGGTGCACCCGTCTGCCTGCTCCCAGCCCTGAGAGCGGCACCTCGGCCTCAGCAGCACAGCCCCAAGTGCCTGCCAAGGTCTTTGGCAAAAAAATTGTTGACGAATATATGTAAAATGCATATGGCAAGATTCAAAAAATCAGCCAACTCTCAGGAATTTCCTCCTACCTCCCTCTTCTGAGCAATGCCACCAGCTCCCTCCTCCGGCAGCCTCGTGTCTCTCTTTGGGTCGTTGGCACAAGACAAACCATGGACTAAGAAAACTAAGAGTTTTCAGCAAAACGTTCAATTCCAGTACTTAATTTAATTAATCTGAGACTGAGCTATGATTACCACAATGTATGACAAAAGAAACAGAGCTACTAATTTAATGACCCTATTTGTTGTTTTTCAGATTTCATGTCTTAAGTAGAACAACCAGGCTTCACTTCACTTGATTCTTCTGGTCTGACTGAATTTCTGTCTGACTCGAGGACTTCATCTCATAAAAAGAACTGCCAGTGTTACAGCATAAGCTCATTCTTCATAAAAGAAATGCTGACTGGTGTTTTAGGAGCTAATTAATTTTATACTCAGAGAAGTCTAAGATAATAGCCCCTTCTTTTTCATCTCAGAGAGAAAGAGAGAGAAAGAGAAAGAGAGAAAACGAGAGCAATTGCTGTGTAAGAAATAAGTACGGTTAGGCATGTTGTATTTGTCAGGATGCAAGTCCAGTGATTTAAGTGGGAATATTGGTAAGCATGCTCAGGCACCTTTGAACCGTGTCACTTAATGACTGAACAGTGCAATTATTAATTAATTAACACCTTAATTAATTAATAATATAACTAATTGACAGCAAATAATCATTAAAACTGGTTTTGTTGTGGCCATCATGCAAGTCAGTTTCTCTAATTTTCCAGTTGCCGTAATCTCCGTGGTGGTTTCTGTGCTGCGGGACAAGCGTGCTCGTGGGGAGGGCTGAACCTGCAAAACCAAGCTCGTGACAGCGTCCGCTACTGCCTGAACTACGTGTGCATTGTGTAAGGTACGCGTTCCCTGGGCCCCTTTTTGGGTGTGTGCATACTTTGAGCTTAGAAAATCTGGCCAGGAGAGTTTTTAGAGAACATCTCAGAAGACAACAAAGGAAGTTAGAGAGGAGAAGACTAATGACAATGGAGAGACACAGCAAACCAAGGAGTTTACAGTTGGCCTAGCAAACCACTACTGGACCAGCAAAGCCAGTAGACAACAAACAGGTGAGGCAGAAAGCAAAAAGCTCCTTCGACTTTTGCAAAAAACAACCCAGTGCCTGTACAGAGCGGGGACAAATCTCAAAAAACCCCATTTATAGGCCTAGTTGTGTCACAGTACTTTGGTAACAAATCAGTATGTCTACGACTTTGTGAAGCTTTGGAAAACTTGAAAAATGACCTCTCTGACTTTCCCTCCACATTTACTATTTCAAAACCTGTAGCTGCAAGAGTTATTGCGAGAGATAATGAACGCTGGCTGTTTCGCCAGTCCAGACTCTGTTTAATATCTAGCATGGCATTTATTAGTTGGCTGTAGCCTGCCTGGGTGGGGAAATGAATCTGACATTAGAGAAATATAATGTCTTTACTAAGATACTTTATTTCCTAGAGCTGATATTACTGTGCTGTCCTTAAAAAGTTATAGTAGCCCCAGGAAATGTGAGAGTCCCCTTCCCAAAAGCAGGACAGGGGTAGATCCCTCACCATCTCCAGTATTTTAGCCATCTTTTTTTCTTTGCTAATGGGATACTTTGGGAATTAGCAGAACCCCTACACATCTCCGCACTCACTGCCGTTTCAGCCTGAGATAAACAACTGAGATAGATTTCTGCCCCCAGGGACAGCTTCTGGACATCAGACTGGAGACACGAGATCAAATTCATCTCTGGTGAAATTCCACTGGCTTCAACCACATTAGACCAGAGATTAATTTGGCCCACAGATACATTAAGAAAGGATACAAAGCACAAACGGTATTTTATAAAAAGAGAGAAAGGGGAGGGGGAAATTCAAGGGGGATGCTGGATCCTAACCCAGCAGGATTCAGCCCAGCCCGCTCCACCCTCACATCACCAGGCACAATGCATGTTGCCGGTTACCTTTTTGCTTACTGACTTTCTTTACTGTCATTGCCGCTTGCCGCTTTTGATTTTCAGAAATTTCAAAGCCTGAAAAAGGGAACACGGCAAACACAATTCAGAAGATTGCTTACAAAACTGCTTTTTCTTTTGGGGAGGGGGGGAATGTTCTGCACTGTTTGGCAAACACAGAACGCCCTAGGTGGCAAAGCATCACCCAGTGAGCTGGGTGTATGGGCAGGTATTTTACTGAAAAGCAAATCTTCCTTGAAAGGGCAGGCCTCTTTGTAATCTCACTTGTGCAGGGGCTGTGTGAAAAGTAAGATTAGACCCATTATTATTTATACAGCACCATAAATATGCCCAGCACTTTACAACTGAGCAACACAAACTGAGCCTGAACTGGCGTTGGATACAGTTAATTTATGGGCTGATGCGGAGAAAGGGCACGGCTGGTAAGTCATTGGCTTCGCCACCCTCCTACCCTGCACGAGACAGGCTTAACTAGAGCAGAAATGATGCAGCCAGGAGACTCTGAAGTCAGGTGGCCAAAGACTTCCTTCTCCCACAATACCCATGGAGGTCCAGGCTTGAAGCTATGGGCAAAATTTGTTTACTGAGGGCCAAAAATAACAGTAGCTGAATTGGAAAGAGACCTATTTATGACTATGAGAGCAACCAAGGACATATGAACAAGGTTGAACTGTAATTCTACTACACAAAAATGTGGGCTTCTCCAACAGTTGGGGCAAAATTAAGCATTACCAACAATCTCCTTTCAGATTCATGTCATATTCCTCACCTATCTTTTCGTCTTCTTTTACCATCTTCCTTTCTTCTCTGAAAGCTCTAAGCCATCGTAACTTCTCCTCCAGTTTCTTGGCAAAGAATAAGTGCATTTCCTCAGTCTCCTTGTTATGAAGTTTGAAGGCATTCTTCATGCTGACATTGAAGTCGTCATCTCTCCCGTCTTCTATATCCACCACTTCATATTTATCCATGTCTATGCGACCTTTGTAATACAGAATATCTCTTCGTATCAGGTCCTGCAGAGAGAAGAGGAGAGATTCGTCGATTTTAAGACACTTACAGAGTCTGAACTCAGTAGGGAATTCATGGGAGGGCTGAAGAAGACAAAGAGGTCATGGTGAAACCTGGTCAGATCCTTCAAGCCTCATCTGCTGTGAATAGATTTGTTGCTGGCTAAACAGATAGGGTAGATCACAGGCACACAAGAACAAAATACAAATCCTCATGCTGCAAAATTCCGCTAGTAGGCATGAAGTAGTCTTTGAGTAGGTAACACACTTCCATCATTTTCCATGATGGGAAGTTCTGTTCCATAGGACGAGAAACCAGAAAATAGAGACCACTGCCCTGAGGGGATTCCAGTGCTGCAAACGAGGCTGTGCAGAAGCATACATCTTGAGAAATCAGCTCGGGCATGTTTGGCAGTGCAGACTAGGTGGAGCAGAGCTCTGTTTTCCAAACGCATTCTCAGCGTCAGAGGAGATGGATCCCTGCCCCTTCTCCTTGGAACCCATTTCCCATTCATACACAACTCACTGGCGAGAAAACCACCCTGATGATCAGTTCAAAGAGCTCCTAACCTATCTCTGTCCCATTACGTCCTGGTTTTAACCTCTTGATCCAGCTTCAATTTTTTCTTTTTACCTTCTTCATGTTTATAATCTTTACAACCAAACCTGTTCATCCCCATCTCCTTTCAAAGTTGATTATTCCAGCCCCTTGTTTTTCAGCAACAGCTCATTTCTCTACGTTAGGAAGGGAAAAGTAAAACAGTCTTCAGTATTAATTTTTCAGAACTCATATGAGAACACCCACAGCTCCGTGGCTACTGTGTTCCCCCCTGCCAAACTGCGGAGGGTGCGTGGTCCTGGCAGCTGGGACACAGTGGTGGGTGGAGGTGGCAATAAAAAAACGTGTTTTGAGATCTATTGTGTCAGCTGCTCAATCACAGATGTGAAATTGTGGATGCTGATAAACTGTAGGAAAAAATAGTTAATTTCCTGTTTTCCTCCTTACCACCTTCATACTTATTTCGGCTTTGCCCATCAAATTTTGTACTGCCGTTACTAGAACTATTCCTGGTTTATACTGGTGTAAGAGGAGCATTGGCTCCACATCTCTATGTCTTTATAGGAACAAATAACAAAAAATGATCATCAGAAAATAGAACGTTAATTATATAGTCGTGACCACGTAAGGTGATTCAAGTTACAAGGCATACATATTTAAAAAGCCAAATTTAGCAACACACAATCAAGATTTCCTTCCTCTATCCACTCTCAAAAGCCAACATTTAGGTGTATTAAATTAACTTAAATACTTTTTGATTTTTGAGAGTGCCCTAAAGATAAATGCTATGTCAAAGGATTCATTTAAGATGAAAAATAAAATCAATGTACAGCATTTATTTATTCATATAAGATTTAGTAGCAAGGTTTTTTTAAAGATAAGCAGTAGGTATTATTTTAAGTAAATCATTAATCTTGGAAAATAAACTCTACATTGTAATTTTTTTGCAAACTTGCTCATGGATCTGCCAGACAGTATTAATGATCGTGGCACAGGGCACTGTCCAGAAGCTCGTAGCCTTTAAAACCTGGCTCCTTCCTCTGGAATGCTGTAGGGGGAAAAAAATTCCATTAACAAATGTATCATACAAATATCTTACTATAACGTGTAGGCTTTGAGTAGTGATGCTGTCCAAAACATAAGAAAAGGATATGAATATGCAATAGAAAATCTTTTCCATTTTCTCTTAACTTGGAAAACTGCTTCTTTCCTCTCCCTCTGCGCCCAGTGAAGTGCTGAGCAAAGGCTGTAAGCGTCACACTAAACTGGTCCAATTAAATCAATACTGTGCGCTGTGTTTAAATTTGAGTCTTGGTCTAGTTCTTAGAAATAGCATTTATCTTCACCGCATTCTCAAAAAACTTGATAACAAATCTCATAGCAAAAAAGATGTGCTCCTTCAATTAGCTATACCAGCAACTATTCTGCCCAGACAGAGAGAACTGACTCACTGCTGATGAAAACTTCCCAAACACAACACCGAACGTCCTTGTGAGTGAGACGGGTGAAGTGGGATCAAACATACTTTTCTATGCAATATTCATGATTATGTAGAGATTTGTTCATAAAAGTTATTACAAGAATAAATAATCACAATCCTCCTTCTCACCTGGCTCTGAAAATACAAGGCTCTGTATATTAGCTCTTTTCTTACACATACTAAATACATTTTTTCCTCTCTTATCTCTCCAATTTTGATTTAGAAAACATTACAATCTCTTTTTAATAGCTAAGTGAAGGTTTCTAACAGCTTTGTGCTGTCAGTATCCTTCCAGAGGACAAGACATCGGGTTTGGACGCGTCTGACTGAACTGCTCCATACATTTCCCCTCCAAGGCTGCAGCAGGAACAATCGCTGCTTCCCGCAAGGCTTCTGCAGCGCGTTTCAGAGGCTCCCGGGATTTGCAGGTGTTGCTGAGTAGTGGATGTGAAGATAACGGTGTTGCCTAGGAGTTACCAAAGGAGCAATGAGGAGATAACGGAATCATACAAGTGCTTCTGGAAATCAAATGGCCCCACAGAATATTATTGCTGGTGAGAATGCATTAATAGGAAAGAACAAGCTCGGCTATTGAGACTTGTTTCCAGAAAACACACGAAGAAGAAACGCCGTGGTTTTGTCCTTGAGCAAGCACATAGGCGAACAAGGGAAAGACAGTAAGTGCAAAGCTCCTGCTTGCCACCTTTACTTTCATTTTGAGAAAAAATTTCAATAACAAATCTAGAAGAAATGAATCATCTTTTCTCCCATCGCTCTCAGCCTCCAGCTTGGCAGGAACTTTCTGGGGGAGAAACAGCCCCTGGAGTGGGGGGAGGCCCAGAGGAGAGAAAGGTGCTGACGCACCATTCAGAGAGGTACAGAAAAGCTAAGCAGCTCGGAGCAAGCTCATGCCTGACGTTACCCGAGTGCGTAACCCCGTGCATTTCCTTCGTACTTCCACAAAAGAAGGACTATTCCCTACTCGTTGAGTAGAAACTCCAGCATTGATACCCCAGGTTTTTAAGAGACCCTTTATTTTTCACAGAGTGGTAGAGCACATAAACATCTCGGTGAACAGCATGTGCCTGCACATGGAAGACACTTTGTACGTACCTGGTTTTGAGAAAGTTCCATCCATATAGCAGATTAGGAACTGGAACTGGATAATATCACTTTTAATGGGTTAGGCATTTCCCACTACCACTTCTCCTTCCTTCCCCTCTTCTTGCTAACAGTCAATAAATAGATATTAATTCCTAACTGACTAAATTTTAACATCTGTAATATGGGAAACATAATCATTATTTGATCTGTGGATATCTTATCATGTGTCATAGAATCATAGAACACCAGGTTGGAAGGGACCTCAAGGATCTCCTGCTCCAACCTTTCTTGGCAAAAGCTCCATCTAGACGAGATGACCCAACACCCCGTCCAACCTAATCTTAATACTCTTCCTTACTATGTTCCTGCAGCTCTTAAAGAATAACGTATGTTACTTAATTCCTTAGTGAAGCATGGGCAAATGCACTTGGCTTGCACTATAATTGATTTCAATAAAATTTAGAAATTCATCTGGGCTATATGGGAGATGTACAGCAAACAAGGCCAAACCTCTGGTTTAAGGAGCTTTTTATCCATGCGGACAAGAGAATAAAAATTCAGGGAACATGCAGGAAATGAAGTCAATGCTGCTTTGTGTGATTTCTGCAAGATGCAGACAGAAAGCCCGTAGCAGTGTTGAGAAATGAAGCCTGTTGTTCTGAGCACCATTTTTGTCAAGCGCAGGGCTATCTTTCCTTTCCTCGAGCACGTAAGCTCAATCAAACAAGCACACACAAGATAAAGGAAAGCAGATGTGTGGCTGAGGGTGAAAATGGATTGTTTAAACAGACTGGTGTCAGTACTACATGTCAGAAGGACAAAGCAAATACTTACACACAAAATGGAGATTTATCAGCTGTAGAAGTAGCCATGCTGTAGAAAAGAGCTCAGGCTTAGCGGAGGGCAGAAATGGCAGCTGGGACAGGCTGCTGCTTTTACTCCTGATTATCCCAGGGACACCATACGAGAGAATTATTAAGCTACAGAATTTAGTTTAATTTATATCCTGGCTATATTAGTATAGTATTATATATTATCCTGGCCATAATTAAACCAGGATGATGACTAGCTGGTTTATGCTATCCAGTTTTGTATGTCATACAATTTTTTTTTATTATTATTTTTTTTTAGTTAAATCAGGTAAGAGCAAACAAATGTAAAAAGACAAAAAAAGGCTCTCAAAACCTGATCAGTGGGGAAAGGCCAAAGAAATGGAGTTGTTTAATCTAGAAAAGACATAAATAAAAGGGAATGTGCTATTGGAATACCAATGTGAAAGCTGCTTCTCTCCTAAGGAGGCTGGTGATCACTTATTCGCCATTTTGATTATGGCTTGGCTTGATTTACCACAGGAGCGAATAGGATTAGATACTTGGGAAAAAATCTTTCTAGCTATTAGCGTAGTTAAGCAGTAGAACAGACAAAATAGGAAAGCCTTGGGACAGCATTCCTTGGAGATTTTCAAAAATAAGGTTAGACAAACATCCATCAGAGATGGTCTGAGCATGCTTAATCCTGCGAAGGGAATAGCTAATCTCCTGGGGCCCTTCCCAGCTCTGCATTTTGATGGTATCTAAGAGAAAGGCGATGGAGGAGAAAACGGGATGAGAGCAGGTAGGATGAGTATGGACTTCAGGGGCGGTATGGGAAAAAAAGCCCCAAGGCGCAGACCGGGATAGCAAGCCCAAGGAGCAGTGACAGAAACCTGCGGTCTCTGCAGACAGCACCCAGATTGCATTGCACGGCTCTTAAGGAAATGGATGCATCTAGGTCATCTGCACTTATTTGTCTAAATATGATCTTTTTTTACCCTACAGCTTCTGCCATTGCCTTTTCTTTCCCTAGCTGAGGTTAATTAAGCTC